GTGGTGCAGGTAGACCAAGGAGTATATTGTTGCCGAGTTATACTCGAAGGGAAGCCAGACGCGGTACAGTAATTTTCTGCTGGCAAAATTCATCAGCAGCGTCACCAACACCGCCCATGCTGACCAAACCTCAAAGGCGGTCATATAGACCTTCCCGGTTTGCCTGAAAATGTGTAAAACATTTTCCGTGATACCGTTTCACCGTCAAAGTCTTAGTTAGATCATTTAATTGAAGAATTGATAAGTAAGAATTTTATAAGTTAGACACTGCTGACTATGTTAGATATTTTTCTGCCATTTGTTAGCCAGTTAAGCGAAAAGTTGAATTAACTTTGCCTTGTATTTGTACTTGTGAAATACAGTTAATTCTTTGTATAATTAATTCTGTCAAACCTTCTAGATTATACAATTTTTACGGTCTCTGCCAGTGGAGATAATCGACAAATTATTGCTTTAGTTCATATAAAATAATATAATAGAGTCATTTTATGAAAATTTTCTACTCCATTCATCTAAGAACCGTTTCGCGAAAGATTATATTATTCGTGTACAAAAAATCCCTTAAGACGCACCAACATCTGCATGGAATTTTGCCACTCACTCAGCCGATTTGTGAAAGTTCTTCTGTATTTCCAGCTCCTCGGCGCCCACAGGTGCGAACGGCGCCGATTGAAGGGTGTTCATCAGTGTTCCTAAGTTCTTTCTCATGATCAGCATGCTGGTCATTTTAAAGCAGTCGATGGCGAAGGACATGGTTTTCAACAAATTCTCGGTGAGATCGTTCCGGTTGTCAACAGTGAGTGCTAGGTCCAGAATCCCACCGACAATGAGGAGAATCGTCGTTATGAAACACGTCCCTGTGTACGCACTGTAGATGTACCTCCAGGGTGTTGAGTTCCAAAAAGGTAGACGCCGACATCCGCACAGTGTTATGAGCATGAAGGTCCACCGTAGCATTTGCATCTTCGCTTCCCCGTGGAATAAAATTGACTAGTATATTCTCTTTTTTTAAAGCGAGTGGCAGGTCTTCTTTCGACGCAGCTCCGACTAGCACTGACGACCTCGGGGTGTATCGACATTTCGATTTCTACTAACCCTTCAACTCCCATAAAGAAGTTGAACGGTTAGAAGAAATCTATAAAGGAGTTGGATGTCTTTTGCTGCTGTTCCCTCTGTCCAGCCGTATCATTACAGTAATTACTTAGCAACATATGCGATCGACTTTTTAACAATACATAAGCTGTCCACGGTGAAGACAGCTTTTTGTCGCACAGTTCTCTTCTCCGACCTATGGGATGTAGAACGATTGTAAACTGTCTGGTAAATTAGGGGTTGAAAGGAACCCAGTCGATGGAACGGAGTATCTGTTTAATGCGTATAAAAGATACGGAGAAGGGAAACATTCCTGGTTTCCCCTTTGGTAGGAAACTCCCTATCTCAGAATAAAAAATTTCTGTGACTTCAGTCAAGGAGTAGGGGATGGTAGTCAGTGACAGAAATACATATAGTGCTCTCATTCCTCATTTCACGATGGGGGGAGAATGGCGGAGTTGTGAAGACGTTTTACAAAAGATAAGCTACATTTTATTACTTAAACGTTCCTGATTTCAAGTTGGATTTACTGCTAGTGATATCAGTGAATTGTTTTCGAACACTGCAGGAAACTCACACTGTTTGATCTTTCATCAAGTTTTAGCTATTCCTTATTGCTTAGAATAGTGATGCACCAATCTTATTCTGCAGCTCCATGAAAGTGCTCTTTAATGGAAAGATCGAACCACTGGAATCATTTTTAAAGAATCTAGACTATTTTATAACTGTGTTCGCGCGCGCGATTGCGGCGTCTTTGGGTTTATTCTACGAGGAAAAGGCTTTTTAAAGGCAAACAATGTTTTCACCGAACAAATAATTTACTGCGTATACTTTTCGTAGTACATCAACGTACTGCTCGACTACATTTTCCACCACGTTATCTGTGATTCCGTGTGTACAAAATTATAAGAACGTTTCCGATCCAATGCAACAGATGGTCCACAACCGGTGTATCGTAATTAGTTCTGTCGAAGCAGATTGAATACCGAATAAGATGTCTTGATCAACTGCGGCAAATAGACAATAGACACAATCGGTGGGTGTCTCTTTTTAATAAAAACACGAAGAAGCAATTTCGTACGAACCGTCTTGAAGGCCTCAACGTTCATGGAGACGATGTGGTTACTAGTGAATTCTATCGGCACCGTAGCCCGACGCATCATCATCAGTAAAATCCTCTTCGTGCTGTCGTTCAACAACGTCCATTCGCTTTCGAAAATCATGTCGGCCACCTCAAGACTCTGCAAAGTGAAATTTTGTGGACATGTTCTCCCAATATGAACCTATTGATCGGAATGAAAATTGTATCCGATTTGGAATTCGCTTCTACAAAGCAAGTTATGTTATGTGGGAGCGAGCTGAAATAACCTTGAGCTTGACTTCGTTTCCAAACCAACAGAAGTAGAAAATCTGCAGGAGCAAGCAGGAACCATAAAAGAAAACGTCAGCTAGGTTGCCGCTATGCTCCGACAGCGACAGTTGATAGAGACTGAAGCACATGACGCCGGTGGTCATGAAAAACTGTATGAAAGTCACAGATTTGAACTCGTCGTTCACCATGTTGGCGAACCTGCAATGATTTCAGAGGGAGGCAAAAACAATGGTGGGTGAATACCGTCCTTAAAGGTTCCGTGGACGGTTCCTTAATCCTAAGTGTTCACCTGATCTAACACATCGACTGCCAAACATGAGCTACCTATGAGATACCCATCACAACGCGTATGTTAAAAGTTTATTATTAACAAAAAAAGGGATTTATTTATTATTCTTTATTGATAAGTATTTTTATTTATTACTATTTTTTACTTATTACTTTTTATTTATGATTATAGTTTACTTATCATCTCTCTCTCTTATTTATTTAAAAAAAGGGATGCTGTGGCATTTACAAGCAGATTTCTTCGAAGTAGACTTGGCAGTCAATGTGTTAAAGCATAATCGCCTAGAATTTCTAGAATGCCTAGAATCTCTACCGATACAAAGCATTAGGACAAACTTGTAGATCTGATCATGATGACGGACACAATGTTTCACTGAATCGTCCGCCATCCTGTGAACGTTTCGCAGACGGTAGCCGAGTATCTCGAACTGAGAGTATATATGTATCATCAGCCCGGTGAACAGGCTGTCATATGCGACCGCCAATGTGATGCTGAACACGGTGATCAGTGCGTGGTGCAGGTAGACCAAGGAAAAAATTGTTGCCGATTTATACTCGAACGGCAGCCAGACACGGTACAGCAACTTCCTGCTCGTAAAATTCACCGCCAGCGACCCTAGCACCGTCCATGCTGACCACACATCAAGGCCGGTCATATAGATCTTCATGACCTTCCTGCAAACGTGTAAAACATTTTCCGTGACATTGATTGGAGGATTGATAAGGATTCTGAAAAAAGATTTGATAAGCTACATAGTGCTGACTATATTAGATATTTTTCTACCTTTTAGCAATTTAAACGATCTGGCTAAAAGTTGGAATAACTTTACTTTGTGGACAATCTGAGCATCAATTAGAGAGACATTACTGTATTGCGGTGTCCGTCACCGGAAATTATTAATAACTTATTTTTTCGTTTTTTTATAAAATAATGAAATCAATATATGAAAATGTCCTGCTCTCCATTCGTCCAAGAATCGATTCGCGAGAAATGAAAATATTCTTGTACAACGAATCTGTTTTAAAACGCACCAACATCTGCATGAAATTTTGCGACTCACTCGGCCGATTTGTCAAACTTCGTCCGAATTTCCAGTTCCTCGTCGCTCACTGGTGCGAACGGCTCCGATTCAAGGATGTCCATCAGAGTTTCGATGTTCTCTCTCGAGGACAGTATGGTGGCTAGTTTATAACAATCGACAGCGAAGGTCATTGTTTTGAACAAATTCTCGCTGAGGTCGCTCCGGTTGTCAACAGTGAGAACTAGGTCCAGAATTTCACCGACAAGGAGGAGGAGTGTCAATAATGTACACGTCCACGTGTACACATTGTAGAGGTATCTCCAGGGTGTTGAGTTCCAAGAAGGTAGTCGCCAACATCCGCACAATGTTATGAGCATGAAGGTCCACCGTAGCACTTGCATCTTTGCTTCCCCGCCGAGAAATATTGACTAATCTATTTTTTTTTTAAGCGAGTGACAGGTCTTCTCGCTGAAAAATCTTGGCTATTCTCTATTCTCTTTTTTAATGCGATGTAGTTGTGGCTCCCCTTATTGTAACAAGCGCTTATTCTTTTAGATACGAAGAAAGAAAGCAGGGAGTTCAGCCTAGGTCTTCCCTCGTCGCAGCTCCGATTAATACTGCTTACCCCAGTGTCTATTGACATTTCGCTTTCTGCTAACCCTTCTTCTACTATGAAGAAGTCTTTCGCTGTCGCTCCCTCTGACCAACCATATCATTACGGTAATTACTCAGCAACATGTGCGGTAGACTTCTTAACGATACATGTAGCGTCTACGGTTTTAACCCGTAGTTTTCTCTTCTACGTTACGCGAAAAAAATTAATAGGGGATTGAAACGAACGCTGTCGATCGCACAAATTTGCGGTTTAATGTGTATAAGAGACGCATTTCGATAGGAAATTTCCACTCAATGGAATAAAAAATTATGCGACTTCAGACAAGAAGATGTAGATGGAATATGGGGTTTCCATTCTTCATTTCATGGTGGAAGGTGAATGACGGCGTTGTGAAGACGTTTTACAAAAGATAACCTACATTTCTAAAGAATCTGGATGACAACTGTGTTTCATTTCGAGGTGTTCTACTCTACGAAGGTAAGGTTTTCCAAATGCAAACTACGTTCTCCGACCAAGTAATTTACTGCGTATACTTCTCGTAGTACATCAACGTACTGCTCGACTAAAATTGCAAGAACGTTTCGTTATTAGCTCTGTTGAAGCAGATTAAATACCGAGTATGACGTCTTGACCATCTGCGGCAAATAAACACACAATGGAGTTACGTCGTTTATCGATCGCTAATCGGTCGACAAATGTCTCTTTCTAATTAGTACGAGCAAGCAGTTTCGTACGAACCACCTTGAATGTCTCGAGATTGACAGAGACGATGTGGAGGCTGGTAAATTCTATGGGCACCATACCGCGTCTCATCATCAGCAGCAGGATCTTCTTCGTCTTGTCGCTCAGCGACGTCCATTCGCTTTCGAAAATCATGTCGGGCACCTCGAGGCTCTGCGAATAGAAGTTTCGTGAAAATGTTCGTAAAATATGAAATCGGTTGAACGAACTCAAAATTGATACAATTGACTGCTACAAAGCAAGTTACACTATTTGGTAATAAGCTGAATAAAGTGCACGTTTCTGAAGTCAAAAAATAGTAATCGAATCAGCGATCAAGGCATCACAGAATGACTATCACTGGATAGCAAGTGTATCAAGGAGGAAACGACTGATGAGATGAAAGTACCTTCAGCTTGACCTCGTTCCCGAACCAACAGAAGTAGAAAATCTGCATAAGTGTGCACGAAGCGTACAGGACAGTGTCTGCAAGGTCAGTGTCAAGTTCCGTCTGCGTCAGCTGATAGAGGTCGAAGCACAGGATGGCGGTGCTCACGAGAAACTGCACGAACGTCACAGATTTGAACTCGTCGTTCACCATGCTGGCGAACCTGCAACGATTTCAGAGGGGAGCAAAGACTATGGTGGGTGAATACCTTGCACGAAGCACCCGTGGACGTGAAACGGTTCCCTAACTCCTACGTGCAATTTAAAGCATAATCGTCGTCCGCCGTTTAGGATCTCTACGGCTACGACGCATTGGGAACCAACTTGTAGATCTGGTCATGATGATGGGCACAATGTTTCACCAGATCGTTCTCGTTCCTGTGAATGTTATGCAAACGGTGCCGGAGTATCTCGAATTGAGAGTATATGTGAACGAGCAGCCCGGCGTATAGACTATCGTAAGCGGCCGTCGACGTAAGGCAGACGATGTTCACTATCGTGTGGTGCAGGTAGACCAAACAGTACATCATTGCCGGCGTATGGTCGAAGGGCAACCAGGTTCGATATAGCAACTTCCTGCTCGCGAAATTCACGAACAGCGACACCACCACCGCCCAAATCCCCCAAACCTCCAATCCAGCTGTGTAGGCTTTCGCTGTCCGTCTGCAATCATGTCAGTCACTTTTCATGTCGCCGGTTCAATGATAAAATTTTTGTAAGATGTCTGACACTGAAAATTCTCAAAAGATTATATTTCGTTGTCTATAAAATAATAGAACAATATTTTGAGAATTGTATATACCAGAAATGCACTATTCACCTAAGATTTCATTTTTGAGAATTTCCTGTGTCGTCTGTTCGACATTATTCTCCTACAGAATTATAATTTTCTAGTGCAATAATGTGCTCAAGGAGCATCAACGACTGTATACAATTGTGTAGCTCACTCGGCCGATTTGTCAAACTGCGTCCGAATTTCCAGCTCCTCGTCGCCCACAGGTGCGAACGGCTCCGATTCAAGGGTCTCCACCATAATGCCGATGTTCTTCCTCATAGCCATCATGCTGGCCAATTTATAACAATCGACAGCCAATGCAGTAGTTTTGTACAAATTCTCGCTGAGATCGTCCTGGTTGTCAACCGTGAGAGCGAGGTCCAGGATTCCACCGAAAAGGGCGAGATGTATGTTCACGAAGCACACCACCGTGTACACATTGTAGAGGAACCTCCAAGGTGTCGAGTTCCATGAAGCTGGTCGCCGGCAACCGCACAATGTTACGAGCATGAAGATCCACCGTAGCACTTGCATCTTTGCTTGCCCGCCTAATCAAATTGACTGTTCTATTCTCATTATCTTGATGCGGCGAAATTGCGATTATCTTTGTCCTGACAAGAACTTATTGTTTCAGAGATGTAGGAAGAGAACGGAAGTATCGGTCTAGGTCTTACCTGGACGCCACTCCGACTGTCACTGAGTACCGCAGGGTGTATTGGCATTTCGCATCCTACTAACCCTTCTACTCCTATAAAGAAGTCAAATGTCTTTCGCCGTTGCTCCCTCGGGTCAGCTATATCATTACGGTAATTATTCAGCTACTTATGCGACATACGTCTACATGCAGCATACATACGTCTGCCACGGCAAACATAATTTTTTTGGCTCGTTGCCCCTCGTTCCTGCTTATGCGGCATGTTTTGATGGGGAGAGCAAATTGTTTGATAAATAAGGAAACGAAAAATAGGCTGTTTATGGAACGAAGTATCAGTTTATCGTCTATTAGAGACGCGGAGGGAACAAACATTTTTCCTTCTCCCCTTTGTTAGCAATTTTCTTATAGATTCGACGAAAAAATTTTGCCACTTTATTCGAGAAGTAAGGAAAGAATGTCGGTGACATGAATATAGTGGTCTCATTTCGAATTTTCCGGTGCGCGGAGGTACACGGAGATATGAACACGTTTCAAAGAAGGTAAGCTATTTTTTCTTATTGAAATGTTCGTGATTTAAAGTTCGATTTATTGCTGGTTGTATCGTAAAACTCTGAAATAGAAAGTCGCGTTAGAAAGCTTTTCCATTTCGAGAAAGAAAATTTACAGTCATAATGAACCTTTTGATTTATCTTCGTTTCCATACGAACTGTGGCAAAATATATGTAACAGTACGTAAAAAAATGTGCGTCGCAATACCAACCCGCATAATCGAATAATTAAATAAAACCTTCTTTCTACTCATTTCACACTAATATTTCTGTTTGAACAAATAAATCACGAATGAATATAAATTTGTAACATTGTTAAATAATCGTAATAATAAATATTTTGTAATCGTTGTCATCATCGGTCTTTATAGATTTTTTTCACAAAGGGTAGGTTGTATGAATGCAAACTACGTTCTTTGACCAATTAATTTACTGCGGATACATTTCGTAGTACATTAAAGAAGCGCTAGGCTATTTTTCCTACCTTTCCACCTTCTTTTACTTGTCTACGAAATAGCAACAACGTTTTCCATCTAAAGTAACAATGGTCGACCACCGTCCTATCGTTATTGGCTTTGCTGAAGCAGATTAAATACCGAGTAAGATGTCTTGACCAACTGCGGCAAATAGACACACGCTCGAGTTACTTCGTTCATCGATCATTAATCGGTTGCGAAGTGTCTGTTTTTAAAATGCACGTAGAAGCAATTTCGTACGAACCGCCTTGAAGGTCTCGAGGTTCACGGAGACGATGTGGAGGCTGGAGAATTCTATCGGCACCGTAGCCCGTCTCATCATCATCAAAAGGATCTCCTTCGTGCTGTTGCTCAATGACGTCCATTCGCTTTCGAATACCATGTCGGGCACCTCGAGACTCTGAAAAGAGAAACTTGAACTTAAAAAATGCACATTTCTGAAGTAAAAAAATATTAATCGAACAAGCGATCAAGGTATCTCAGATTGACGATCTGCGGTCAGCTGGTAAATCTAAACGAAGATGATTGGCAAAATGAAAGTACCTTCAGCTTGACCTCGTTCCCGAACCAGCAGAAGTAGAAAATCTGCATGAGCGTGCACGAAGCATACAGGGCAATGTCGGCGAGGCTGGAGTCAAGGTCCGTCAGTGTAAGCTGATAGAGGTCGAAGCACAGGGTGGCGGTGCTCACGAAGAACTGCATGAAGGTCACAGATTTGAACGCGTCGTTCACCATTCTGGCGAACCTGCAACGATTTCAGTGGGGGACAAAAACTATGATAGGCGAATACCGTGTTCGACGGGCCCGTGGAAGTGAAACGGTATGCTCTAAGTGTTCAGGTGCGATCTAAAGCATAATCGACGGCTGCAGCTAAAGGTCTCTACCGGTAGGAAGCATGGGAACCAACTTGTAGATCTGATCATGATGGCGGGCACAATGTTTCACCGAATTGTTCTCGTTCCTGTGAACGTTTTGTAAACGGTGCCGCAGTATCTCGAACTGAGAGTAAATGTGAACCAGCAACCCGGCGTATAGGCTATCGTAAGCGATAGTCAACGCGAGGTTGGCAATGGTGACCAGCGTGTGATGCAGATAGACCAAACAGTAAGTGATCGCCGGAGTATGGTCGAACGGCAACCAGACTCGATACACCGTCTTCCTTTCCCTGAAGTTCATAAACAGCGATAACACCGTCGTCCATACCCCCCAGATCTCGAAACTGATTGTGTATGCCTTCGCAATCGATCTGCAACCATGCGAGACAGTTTTCATGGTGCTGGTTCACTAACGAAGTGTTCTATTATTATTCGATTCTATATTGGTTAACTGAACCTTTTCTGCCTTTTGGCAATTTAAACGATGTCATTCGAATATTCACGATTCGTATATTAAAAGATAATTTGACAAATTGGTTATTGTATTGTGTTTCATGAAACCACGGTGGTCAAATTAACATTTTCATTTCTTGCATATTATGGGGAACTATTGAAGTTCCCGATGGTAAAAGTACTCAACACAATTATATTTCGTGTTCTATAAAGTAATAGATCGATATTTTAAGAATTTCTTGTGATCATCCAAGATTTCTTGATCAGACGTTTTAAACTGAATTAAGTAATTTCTCTCACGTATATAAATATTCTTGTCGACTAGAAGTTCTCAAGAAATGATGTACTACGATGCAAACAGGAGTGAATCATTTTTGGAGACTTTACTGTTCTATTCGTTTAAAATGTTCCCATGACAAGTTATAATTTTCTAATACGAAAATTTCCTAAAAACGCATCAACATCTCAGAAAGATCATAAAATTGTTCAACTCACTCTGCCGATTTGTCAAACTTAGTCCGTATCTCCAGCTCTCGGTCGCCCTCAGGTGTGAAAGGCTCCGATTCAAGGGTATTCATAATAATAGCGAGGCTCTCTCTCATGGACACCATGCTGGACAATTTGTAGCAAGTGACTGCGGCCCCCATTGTGGCGTACAGATTCTCGGCGAGATCGTTCTGGTTGTCAACAATGAGCACGAGATCCAAGACTTCCCCAACGACGAACAGATGTGTAATCATGAAACAAATCATCGTGTACACATTGTAGAGGTACCTCCTGGGTGTCGAGTCCCAAGAAGCCGGACGCCAGCATCCGCACAATGTAATGAGCTTGAAGATCCACCGTAGCACTTGCATCTTTGATCTCCCGCCGAACAGAATTCACTATACACAATTCGTTGTTGCGGTAAGTACTATCATTATTTTGCAGCGATTGAATCGTAGTTGTTTATAATCTGACAAGAACTTTTTGTTTCAGAGATGAAGGAAGAGAGTTGGAAGATCAGCCTAGGTCTTCCCTCAACGCCGATCCGACTGTCACTGACTACCGCAGGGTGTATTGATATTTTGCTTCCAACTAACCCTACTACTCCCATAAAAAAGTCAGATGTCTTTCGCTGTCGCGTCCTCAGGCCAGCTATATCATTACGATAATTACTCAGCCAATTAAGCGACGTACGTCTACATGCAGCATACGTACCTCTGCCACGGAAAACATAATTTTTTTGGCTCATTGTAACTCGTTCCTGCTTATGCGGCACGTTATGATGGGGAGAGAAAGTTATTTGATAAATATGCGAACGAAAAAAACGCTGTTGATGGAACGAAGTATCAGTTTAGCGTTTATTAGAGACACGAAGAGAACAAACACTTTTTCTTCCCCCCTTTGTTAGCAATTATCTTATAGATTCGACGACAAAATTTTGCCACTTTATTCGCGAAGTGAGGGAGGATTGCCAGTGACAGGAATATTGTGGCTTCATTCTGAATTTTCCGGTGCTCGACGGTTGACGGAGATATGAACACTTTTTAAAAAAGGTAAGCTGCATTTTGCTACTACAATGTTCGTGAACCTTTTAATTTATCTTCTTTTCCATACGAACTGTGATAATAAATGTGCGTAACACTACGTAAAAAAATGTGCGTCACAATAGCAATCCGCATAATCAAATAATTAAATAAGTTCTTCCTTCTAATTACAGAAGAACTTCTACTCACATAAAAATTCCTCTGTTCGAACAAATAAATCACGAACGAATATAAGTAGTAACATTTGTCATTCTCGACGTCTATAGATTTATTTCACAAAGAGTAGGTTGTATGAATGCAAACTACATTTTCTGACCGATTAATTTACTGCGTACACATTCCGTAGTACATTAAAGTAGCGCTCGGCTACTTTTCCTAACTCTCTACCATGTTTTCCTTGTCTACAAAATAGCAACATACGTTTTCGTTCTAACGTAACGATGGTCTATCCCTGTTCTATCGTTATCGGCTCTGTTGAAGCAGATTAAATACCGAGTAAGATGTCTTGACCAACTGCGGCAAATAGACACACGCTCGAGTTACTTCGTTCATCGATCATTAATCGGTTGCGAAGTGTCTGTTTTTAAAATGCACGTAGAAGCAATTTCGTACGAACCGCCTTGAAGGTCTCGAGGTTCACGGAGACGATGTGGAGGCTGGAGAATTCTATCGGCACCGTAGCCCGTCTCATCATCATCAAAAGGATCTTCTTCGTGCTGTTGCTCAACGACGTCCATTCGCTTTCGAATACCATGTCGGGCACCTCGAGACTCTGCAAAGTGAAACTTTGTGGATATCTTCCTAAAATATAAACTCGATTACTGGAATAAAAATTGAACACGATCAACAATTGACTCCTTCAAAGTATCTTACATTATTTAGGGGCAAGCTAAAACATATTGCACAGTTTTGAACTTAAAAGATGCAAATCGAAGAAACGATTAAGGTATCTCAAGTTGACGATAATCAGAAGGTGAATCCAGACGAAAATGATCGATGATGTGAAAATACCTTCAGCTTGACCTCGTTCCCGAACCAGCAGAAGTAGAAAATCTGCATGAGCGTGCACGAAGCATACAAGGCAATATCGGCGAGGCTAGAGTCAAGGTCCGTCAATGTGAGCTGGTACAGGTCGAAGCACAGGACGGCGGTGCTCACGAAGAACTGCATGAACGTCACAGATTTGAACTCGTCGTTCACCATGCTGGCGAACCTGCAACGATTTCAAAGGGGGGCAAAAACTATGATGGGCTAATACCGTCCTCGACGGGCCCGTGGACGTGAAACGGTTCGTTCTAAGTGTTCATGTGCGATCTAAAGCATAATCGACGGCTGCAGCTTAGGGTCTCTACCGGTACGAAGCATGGGAACCAACTTGTAGATCTGATCATGATGGCGGGCACAATGTTTCACCGAATTGTTCTCGTTCCTGTGAACGTTTTGTAAACGGTGCCGCAGTATCTCGAACTGAGAGTATATGTGAACCAGCAGCCCGGCGTACAGGCTATCGTAAGCGACAGTCGACGTGAGGCAGACCATGATGACCAGCGTGTGATGCAGGTAGACCAAACAGTAAGTTATTACCGGAGTATGGTCGAACGGCAACCAGGTTCGAAATACCATCTTCCTTTTCGTGAAGTTCATGAACAGCGACAACACCATTGTCCATACCGCCCAGATCTCGAAACCGATCGTGTAGGCCTTCGCGGTCCATCTGCAACCAGGCGAGGCAATTTTCATGGTGCTGGTTCGGTAACGAAGAATTCCAATATCATTAGATTATATGTTGATTGACTGAGTCTACTGAGAAAGAATTGTTGAGCGATATTTCTCTGCCTTCTGATAATTTAAACGATGTCATTTTAATATTTATTATGCATATTATGGAACTATTGAGGTGCCCGATGGTAGAAATTCTCAAAAAGTTATATTTCGTGTTATATAAAATAGAGAGGAAACTTCTTGTTGTGTCAGAAAGGTATTGTTCATCCAAGGTTTCTTGATCAGACGTTTTAAACTGGATTAAATAATTTCTCTCATGTATATAAATATTCTTGTCGACTAGAAGTTCACAAGAAATGATGTACTACGATCCAAACAGGAGTAAATCATTTTTGGAGACTTTACTGTTCTATTCGTTTAAAATGTTCCCATGACAAGTTATAATTTTCTAATACGAAAATTTCCTAAAAACGCATCAACATCTCAGAAAGATCATAAAATTGTTCAACTCACTCTGCCGATTTGTCAAACTTAGTCCGTATCTCCAGCTCTCGGTCGCCCTCAGGTGTGAAAGGCTCCGATTCAAGGGTATCCATAATAACAGCGAGACTCTCTCTCATGGAGAGCATTGCGGATAATTTGTAGCAAGTGACTGCGAACCCCATTGTAGCGTACAGGTTCTCGGCGAGGTCGTTTTGGTTGTCAACAATGAGCACGAGGTCCAGGACCTCTCCAACCACGAGCAGATGTATAATTGTGAAACAAATCACCGTGTACACATTGTAGAGGTACCTCCTGGGTGTCGAGTCCCAAGAAGCCGGACGCCAGCATCCGCACAATGTAATGAGCTTGAAGATCCACCGTAGCACTTGCATCTTTTTCTCCCGCCGAACAGAATTCACTATACGCGATTTGTTCTTGCATTAAGTGTTATCATTATTTTGCAGCGATTGAATCGCAGTTGTCCATTATCCTGACAAGAACTTGTTGTTTCAGAGATGAAGGAAGAGTACTGGAAGATCAGTCTAGGTCTTCCCTCGACGCCGATCCGACTATCACTGACTACCGCATGGTGTATTGACATTTCGCTTCCTACTAACCCTTCTACTCCCATAACGAAGTCAGGTATCTTTCGCTGTCGCCCCCTCGAGCCAGCTATATGATTACAGTAATTACTCAGCGACGTACGTCTACATGAAGCATACATACGTCTGCCACGGTAAACATAATTTTTTGGCTCATTATCTCTTGTTCCTGCTTATGATGTACTATGTACTGATGGGGAGAGGAAATTGTTTGTTAAATAAAGGAGTGAAAAATATGCTGTTGATGGAACGAAGTATCAGTTTAATGTCTATTAGAGACGCGGAAGAAACAAACATTTTAGCTTCCCCCTTTGGTCGCAATTTTCTTATAGATTCGATGAAAAAATTCTGCCGCTTTATTCGAGAAGTAAGGAAAGATTATCAGTGACGGGAACACAGTGCTCTCATTCTGAATTTTCCGGTGCTTGGAGGTTGACGGAGACATGAACACGTTTCAAAAAAGGTAAGCTACTTTTTATTACTAAAATTATCATGATTCCAAGTTGCATTTACTGCCAGTTTTAGCAAAGAAAACAGTTCATGTGATTTATAGAGATTGTACGATGACTGTTTCTCTGTTCAACTATTCTATTCGAGCACTACACATCGTGTGACGATTCTTATTTGAGCAGATTATACACCGAATAAGAAGTCTTGATCACCTGACCGAGGAATTATTGAAATGCATTAGCAATAAATATTTCCTAGTCAAATATTAATTTTTTATCGACCTTTGCAAACTAACAACTGTTCGTAGAACACAGTGAGAAAAGCGGTTAATAATTGATACAAACCACCATGAACGACTCCAAATTCACGGACATAATATGAGCGCTTCTGAACTCCATGGGGAACGTACCTCGTAGCATAATTATTAGAAGAACCTTCTTAGTCTCGTTGTCTAAATTCATCCAGTTGCTTTCGAAGATCATATCGGGGATTTCCAAGCTCTGTAATAGGAGGTCATGATGAAAAATATTCGAAAGTAGAGAATCGAATCTTCTTGGGATAATTTACCTTTAGCTTAACTTCGTTCCCGTACCAACAGTAGTAAAATATCTGTGTCAGTGCGCAAGTTGTAAACATAACGTACTCTATTGCTTTTCCACCCAATTCCACCTGCGTCAGTTGGTAGACGCTGAAGCATACCATCGACACCGCTCCCATGAGTTGAAAGCACAGTACTAAGCGAAAGCTCCTGCGCAACTTTGCAGCGTAGCTGCAATTATTTCACAAATGATTTAATTCTTATAATGACAGAAGCATTCTTTATGTAGAAAATTAATTTTCATTTTATTGGCAGCTGTAATGCACTAGAAAACTTAAAATAATGTGAAAGGATGTTCTTATCTGAACAACAAACTTTTGGAATATGTTAAAAAATCAATTTCATTTACCGTCAATTTTTTTTATGTTACAATTATTGCATGGAAGAAAAATAAAGTTGTTTCAAATTGTGCATAGCATGAGGATTGATTTAGGATTCATTGAAAACTGTGAAAAACCCACGCGTATATCTGGTGATGATGATAAGCGCATACTTTCGCTGCTCCCTTCTGATCACTCTTAATATTTTGCAGGCGATACTTCAGAATCTCCAGCTGACAATACACGCAGATCAACAACCCGTTGAACAAAGAGTCGCAACCAACGTGCATCATCGTATCCAAAGTCAGAGTCACGTATTGGCAAAGGTACGTCATCGTGTACAGCGTCACAGAAGAATAATTATACGGTATCCAAGCGCGAAATGCTAATTTTCGGTTCTTTGCTTCCATGACTGGTGTGCTGACCCACACCAGCATCATGGTGGCCTGAACCAGCCACATGAATCGAACTGAATTATCCCTGCGATCCAAAGAATATCAAATCGTACTTTAATTTTACATTTTCGATGAAACAGTTTACTGTAATCATTCATTGTTGCGTTAATTCGACATCAAACGATAAATCAACAGTTTGACTGCAGTGTCACCCATAAATAGACGGTAGAACAGTCTGCTCAGGTTCGAAACTTAATTTTTACGCTAATCTATTACATCTTCCCAATTTTATTAGAAAATCTGCAGAAAGCAAGGATGTCGGAAAGTAATTCATGTCATAAAATTGGACTTCTCAATTTTATTTTGATCAAATCAAATATTTTAATGAAATTTTTGGGCTTGTTGATATGGCACTAAAGGTGTTAAAATGGGAAAAAGAGGAAATAGCTAACGAAATTAGTTCATAAAATTAGTTTTGTTTTGCGAAATTTTCGAAGATGCCGGTTTGATGTTGAATTCGAAAACCATTTGAAAGTACTTACTCGATTACTTTGTCGAATTTCATCTGAATATTCACCTCTTTCTCATTCACAGGCATGAATGGCTCCTTTCGCAAAGCTTTTACCAGGATCATGATACTTCTTCTATTCACTAAGAAGCTGTACATCTTGCATACACCTCCGAACACAGAGACCGTGAAGAAAATATTGTCGCTGAAATCTTCCTGAGTTTCGACGTTCAATACTATGTCGAGAAAGTGCGACACCAAAGCAGACATCAAGAGACTGCCGATTGCCGTCGAGTACACCGAATACAAACGTTTTTTGAACGTGGATGTCCAGGTAGGTGGCCGTAGACAACCTAACGCTGTCATCATCAAAAGCGCTGTATGCAGCGTAGCTTTCATCACGAATTTGATCTTATCTCATTCGCTCTCAAAAATTAATCAGGTTTACAAGAGATTTATATATTTTAAATCACTTCTATTCCGCAGAAGTAAAATGATTATCCGAAATAGTTGATTGAAAGCGTTCTTCTATTTTGTTGCAAGCCGGAGAATATTTTTTGCACTGAATTCACGAATTACTCGACTCGAAAACAAGCAAATTTTTTTTCGTTAGCATAGCGTGAGCAAAGCGGACCGCAAAAACATGAGAGAATTCCGACCTCTCCAAACAAAGACTGAAATCCGACTGGACTGGCACACGCTCTCGGATTTTTTCAGCACCCTCTGATAGTCTCCTCCCGATGGTCTCCCTTCAGTCTGGCAGGCTATATTATTATGGCAACTACCGGGGACTGTGCTCGACTGTCGCAATTGTCATTTCGAAAATAAGATTGTAACCCTTGCAGTATCTATATTTCCTCGACTTTTTCCGTATTGTATTCTGTTGCACCTTTTGCATGGGACTCGGAGGGGTCTGTTTAGGTAGGACAGTATTTAATAGTGAATGATTGAAGAGACACAATACTTCGTAGTTGGTTTTGCTGCACGTAGGGATATACATATTTTACGCTAATCACTAGTAACAGCGCGGTGACGGTCGCTTACTTGTTGGTAGCAGCAGTGCACGACAAAGACTCAATGGAAGGAAATGTGCACCCGTGGAAATAACAAACGTTTCAAGAACTTGCGCTAAGTTGTAAGGAAAAAGTACCTGCTTTTGCAATAATGATGGGTCAGGATAACAGCTGACTTTGAGTAAGTTGCTTTCATTGTCCGATGACATATGTAGCATTCAATCGAAAGGAAGTCCCATAAAATAACATGGTGCGGTGAAAGTCACGCCTTCCGGCAGCACGCAAGACATTGTTGCAGTCCCCTCGATGACAGAACCTCCTCTGTAAAACGTACAATTGTTAGGGTAAATTCCTCAGACAATCTTCTTCAACAAACTTACTTAATCTTTGGCTGCACCATCGATACCATTCAGTCTGATACCATTCATCTGCAACATTATCTCAGTTATGGGGGTAAGTAGAAGAGCAAGGACGAGGCAAACTTTTCAGCTTTTCATGTTCAATTTATTCCAAATAATTTTACAATTATTGTTCACACTCTGATACAAATTGTTTCGCTCCCAATCAGATATCCATAATCGAATCATCGTCCCGATCCGTTATCTGCTCTGTAGCAGATTGAATATCGAGTACGAAGTCTTCATCACCTGTGCAAGAGAATGATTTAAGTAATTAATAGAACTAGAAATTGTAGAACTAGAAATCGTAGGAAGAAAGAGAAGAACAGACCGTCATGAAAGAGTCCAGATTCACTGCAACGATGTGAGCGCTTGTGAACTCGATGGGGAACATGGAGCGCTGCATGATGAAAAGGAGCATCTTCTTCGCGTCGTTGTCCAACTCGGGCCAGTTGCTCGCGAAGATCATGTTAGGGACTTCGAGGCTCTGAAATAGCAGACGTGGTTAGATCGCGAAGGGACCAGAACGATTGTTCCTGTCTTGAGAGTGAACCTTCAGCTTGACTTCGTTCCCGTACCAGCTGTAGTATGACAGCTGCACCAGCGTACAGACTATGTACATGCCAGCCTGGTACAGTTTCGTGCTTAGACTCATGTTCGTGATTCGGACAAGGGTCAAGCAGACCATGGGAGTACTCGCCATGAACTGAAAGCCCAGAATCCCTTGGAAGTGCCTGTTCACTTCCAACGCGAATCTGCAAGCAATTGAAAGATATTAACTCGTGACGCGATTGTAGAATTAATTCTGTGAAGTAGACGTTAGCGACAGAGTCAACAATTATAGTACACTCGTTTAAATTGTTCCTTATTCTGTTTTCAAAATGTTCGCAAGATTGACTGTGAGAGTGTACTGAAAAAGAATCGAGCACACACTGGTAAATGCATTCGTGGTGTCGAGCACAGGCTTTCACCGACTGACTGTGATCTCCCGTAATATTTTGCAAACGGTGCTCCAGCAGCTCCAGTTGACCGTTTATGAGTACCATCAGGCCGCTGATCAGAGTATCATTAGCGACGTGCATCACCGTGAGTAGTATTAAGCTGCTCGCTTGGTGACAGTATGTCACTGTATACAGGATCGTGGAAGAGTAGTCGAACGGCACCCATACACGTTGATGCGCTAATCTTCTCATCTTCAGGTCTGTCATTAGGGAGGATACCCATAATACTAACAGGTACGATTGGATCACCAAGATGAACACTATCGTATTTTTTCTGCGAATGAACAGATTCGTGTCAAATTGATGACGAAGATCAATGTATAATTAACACTTTTACTGCCACAACATCAAACTTAGTTTCATGTAATTAAAATATTTTATTAGATCATCCGTATATGTATAACGTGGCAGTGAAAGAGCAATTAAAAATTTCTGACTTACTGGATGGCCTTGTCAAACTTCTGCTTAATTTCCATCTCTGCTTTGTTCATGGGTACGAAGGGCTCCTTGTCAAGGCTGTTTACGAGCAGCAGAATGTTCTCCCGTTTCCCCATCAAATTAAGCATCTTGTAAAGCGAGATCAGCCCTGCCACCGTAACAGAAAAGTTGTCGCAGAATTGCTCCTGGTTCTTCACGTTGAATATTATATCCAGCACCGCCATTAGCATAACGTATTGCACGAATAGCAATATCAGAAGCGAGTAGGCTTTGTACAACCATCTTTTAGCCCTGGAGGTCCAGGTTAATGGACACAGGCAGCCCATGAAGGTCATTAACGAGAAGGAGTACTTTAGCGCTGTCATGAGCAATTTTGGCAGGGTACGATTTGTCTGTACTCATTCGATGACAAGTAATATTCCCACTAATTTTCCTCTGCCGCTTGGCCAACAAGGATCTTTAATTGCGTGGAAACAAATGTTTCATCGTATTCCCTTGAACGCTGATAAGAGATGACTTCTCGCGACGGAGCTTGACAAGTTACTGACTGCCGCGGAGTATCGGTTTTTCGCTCGAACTCTGTCCCATCCGACTTTTTCCGCGACGAATTCCCTTCCGATGGGAAGAGTATGTCATCACAGTAACTATTGACGAGCACGCGACATGCGTAATTGGCATTTCGAGATCGCGACCGCAACCCCTTGGACTCGGAATGCATATAAGCGAGTGCACGGGAGAACCTCGTTGAATAATGAAACCGCCGATGAAGAAGGATTACTTATGGTAGCTTTCGATGGACACGGATAATTAGTGGTGGAAAGAAGCCGCGAGTAACTATCGGTCTTTTTCTCCCCGGTTGCATCACCGCGGTGGAATGCAGTGGGAAAAAATGTGTCAGTGAAGACATTATATTCTCTACAATATTCAGAGTCTGCTTGGGGAGGATGAGCAAACTGTCTCGAATGAAAAATATCGAGGATTTCATGTTCTTGGCTCTACAGGCAAGTTATTTTTTGTCACTAGAACATCGAGTATTTTAGTATGAATCTATTGTTACTTGCGTAGAGATATTAATTGCACACTTTGCTAGAAAGCACTTTGGTATTAAAATAGTGTTCGGTATATCTGTTGGTGTTAACTACCCTCGTTGCAGTACATTATATGCAGAAAACGATTGCATCGAAAGTTGGAGGCGAGTAAATCGTTCCGCGCCCACGCACGAAACGCTAACCCTTTGTTCTTTGTGTTACTGATGGCTGCAGTCCCATCGATGCAAGTATTTCCTCTACAACCGTGCAATTATTAGGGTAAATTCCTCAGAAAATTTGTTACGACGAACTTACTTGATCTTCGTCTGCAACATTGGCAAAATTCAATCTGATAATCTATTGGATATTTGATAATTTTTGGACTCCTCCACAACAAACGTTCTCTTCTTTTTCAACACAATATAATTTTGATCACATATAATTTCCTGTCAGGGTTAAGAAAAATAGCAAGGACGAGACAAAATGTTCAGGATTCAATATTTAATTTATTGCAAACTATTTTAGAATTTTTACTCTGGTAAACCTATCAATACAAATTGGTCCATTCTCGATCAGATTTTCTAATTGAAAACATCTTTCCGAACCGTTACCTGCCCTGAAGCAGATTGAATATCGAGTACGAAGTCTTCAACACCTGTACAAGAGAATAATGGTCGTAATTAGTAACAATAGTTGGACGGGAGAAAGAAGGAAGAAAGTGAAGGACTGACTGCCATGAAAGACTCCAGATTCACTGCAACAATGTGGGCGCTCGTGAACTCGATGGGGAACGTGGAGCGCTGCATGATCAATAGGAGCATCTTCATCGCGTTCTTATCCAACTCAGGCCAGTCGCTCGCGAAAATCATGTCAGGGACTTCGAGACTCTGAAACAGCAGCCATGGTTAGATCGCGAAGGGACCAGAACGATTGTTCCTGTCTTGGGAATGAACCTTCAGCTTAACTTCGTTCCCGTACCAACAGTAGTAAGACAGCTGCATCAGTATACAGATTATGTACATGCCGGCCTCGTACAGTTGCGTTCCCAAACCCATATTTGTAATTCGAAAAAGGGTCAAGCACGCCATGGATGTACTCGCCATGAACTGAAAGCCCAGAATCCCTCGAAACTGTTTGTTCACTTTCGATGCGAATCTGTAAGCAATTCGAAAATATTATCCCGTTTCTCGATCGTGCAATTAATTCTGCGAAGCAGACGTTAGCGATAGAGTCAACAATTATAGTACACTCGTCCGAATTGTTTCTCATTCTGTATTGAAAATTTTTGCAAGATTGAATCAGATACTACAAAATTGATAGCACTATAGATCAATCAGTTATCCAACTTGCGTTAAATGCGGCTACCGTTTCATCTTGTTCCACACTTTTAACCTGATAATTAGTAAAGTTATCATTTGGCAAGTACTCTTCCCCAATAGAGGTATCGTTGCGAAACATAATTCCGTGGGCATATATTCTCCTAGAGTCCTTCATACCGAACTACTGTGAGTGCACTCACTGGTAAATACATTCGTGGTGTCGAGCACAAGCTTTCACCGATTGACTGTGATCTCCCGTAATATTTTGCAAACGGTGCTCCAGCAGCTCCAGTTGACCGTTTATGAGTACCATCAGGCCACTGATCAGAGTATCGTTAGCGAGATGCATCAACGAAAGTACTATTAAGCTGCTGGCTTCATGAAAGTAAGTCACCGCGTACAAGATCAGGGAAGAGTAGTCGTACGGCACCCACACACGTTCGTGCGCCAATTTTCTCAGCTTGAGATCTCTCATTAGCGACGACATCCACGTCACCAACAAATATGATTGGAACACCATCATGAACATTATCGCATTTTTCCTATGAACCAATAAATTCGTGTCAAATTGACGATGAAATCTGGATCAATGTACGATCAACTCTTTTGCTGCCGTGCCAAGACCCTAAGCTTCATATAATTGAAGCATATTATTAAATCAAATTAAAATTGAAAAGTTAATTTGTATGACTTGTTTGGCTTGTAATAGATCGGTGTTAAAATTAATAATCAATTCTAAGGAAATAATTCCACTAATATAATCACTATAAATTCTCCCTAATTGACGCTCAGATTATGACCAAAAATGTACGATTTGGGAAGAAGAGATACGATTATTCGTTTCTATAGTTGTTGATAATCGGTAACTATAAAAACAAGCTGAAATAATCGTATTTTCGCATCCAAAATTGTCCATTTTTCTGTACAATCTGTGCGTTAGTTAGGGAGAATTTACTCTATCTATTTATGGATAACGTGGTAGTCAAAGGGCAATTAAAAATTTTTGACTTACTGAATGGTCTTTTCGATCCTCAGCTTAATTTCCATCTCTGCTGTGTTCATGGGCAGAAAGGGCTCCTTCTCTAGACTGTTTATGAGCATAAGAATGGTCTCCCGTCTTCCCCTGAAGTTGAGCATCTTGTAAAGCGAGATGAGCACGGCGACCGTAATAGAGAAGTTCTCGCAGAATTGATCCTGGTTCTCCACGTTGAGTATTATATCTAGAACTGCTATCACCATCATGTACTGTACGAACACCAATATCACAAGCGAGTACGCTTTGTACAACCATCTTTTGGCCCTGGACGTCCATGTTAATGGACACAGGCAGCCCAGGAGCGACAGAAACGTAAACGTGTACTTCAGCGCTGTCATGATGAATTTTGATAGGGTGCGATTTATCAGTACTCATTCGGCGACTGGTAATATTCCCACTAAGTTTCTTTCGCCACTTGGAGAACAAGGGATTTCATTAATGCGAGAACAAATGTTTCATTACATAGTTCTTTGGGCGCGAAGACGAGATGACTTCACGCGACGGAGCTTGACGGGTTACTGACTACCGCGAGGTATCGGTTTTTTACTCGAACTCACTCACTCATCCGACTTTTTCCGCTGTGAATTCCCTTCCGTCGGGAAGAGTACGTTATTACGGTAATTATTAACGAGCACGCGACAGGGGTAATTGCCATTTCGAGAACGCGTTCGCAACCCCTCGGACTCGGAATGCATTTACGCGAGTTTACGGAAGGATCACGTTAAATAATGAAGCCATCGATGGTAGCTTTCGATGGACACAGATAATTGGTGGCGGGAAGAAGCTACGAGTAAATACCAGTTTGTTTTTTTCTCCGCTAACATCACCGTGATGGAATTCAATCGAACAAAATGTGTCAGTGTAGACATTTGTCTCTTATGATATTCATAGTTTCCTTGGGGCGGATGGACAAATTGTCTGAGATGGAAAATATTGAGGATATTATGTTCTTGACTCTACAGGCAAGTTACTTTTCATCGCTAGAATGTCGAGTACCTTAACTAATATAACCTTGACATAACTCACTCGTTCATGGCGTCGAATCACGTCTCGATCATCTTTTCGTCGTTCCCTGTAAAACGTGCAGCGATTAAAGCAAATTCCTCAAGCAATTTTCTTCGATATACTTACTCAATTTTTGTCTGTACTATCGATAAAATTCGATATGATAATCCTACTGGAGATTTGAATATTTTCTGACTCCTCTAAAACATTGTCTTCGTATTCGACACGATAAAGTTATGATCACATATATTTTCGTTTCGGGGTTAGTAGAAGAGCAGGGATGAGACAAAATGTTGCGGATATGATATTTAATTTATTGCAAACTATTTTAGAATTAATGTGCGTACTCTGGTGCACGTTTCTATACAAATTCTTTCAATCTCGATTAGATTGTTTTAATTAACGCATCAACCCGATCCGTTATCTGCTCTGAAGCAGATTGAATAACGAGTACGAAGTCTTCATCACCTGTGCAAAAGGATAATCATCGCAATTGGTAACGAAATTTGTAGTACTGGAAACGTAAGGAACAAGAAGGAAAATTCTAACCGCCATGAAAGATTCCAGATTTACTGCAACAATGTGAGCGCTCGTGAACTCTATGGGAAACGTGGAGCGTTGCATAATGAACAGGAGCATCCTTTTCGCGTCGCTGTTCAACTCGGGCCAGTTGCTCGAGAAAATCATGTCAGGCACTTCGAGGCTCTGAAATAGCAGGCGTGGTTAGATCGCGAATGAACCAGAACGATTCTTCCGGTCTTGAGAATGAACCTTCAGCTTGACTTCGTTCCCGTACCAACAGTAGTAAGACAGCTGCATCATCGTGCAGATTATGTACATGATGGCCTCGTACAGTTCCGGACCCACACTCATATTCGTAATTCGGAAAAGGGTCAAGCAGACCATGGGAGTACTCGCCATGAACTGAAAGCCCAGAATCCCTTGGAAGTGCCTGTTCACTTCCAACGCGAATCTGTAAACAATTCGAAAAAATTATCCCGTTGCTCGATCGTGCAATTAGCGACAAAGTCAACAATTATAGTACACTCGTCTGAATTGTTTCTTATTCTGTATTGAAAATTTTCGTAAGATTGAATCAGATACTACAAAATTGATAGCACTATAGATCAATCAGTTATCAAGTTGTGATAAATTCGGCTATCGTTTCATCTTGTTGCAGACTTTTAACCTGATAATTAGTAAAAAGTTATCATTTGCAAGTACTCTTCCCTAATAGAGGTATTGTTGCGAAACATAATTTCGTGGACATATATTCCCCTAGAATCCCCCATACCGAACTACTGTGAGAATGTATTCGAAAAGAATCGAGCACACACTGGTAAATGCATTCGTGGTGCCGGGCACATGCTTTCACCGACTGATTGTGATCTCCTGTAATATTTTGCAAACGGTGTTGCAGCAGCTCCAGTTGACACCGTATGAGTACCATCAGGCCGCTGATTAGAGTATCGTTAGCGACGTGCATCACCGAGAGCAGTACCGAGCAACTGGCTTGATGAGAGTAAGTCATTGCGTACAAGATCAGCGGAGAGTAGTCGAACGGTACCCAGACACGTTGGATCGCTAACTGTCTCCGTTTCACATCTCTCATTAGCGAGGACATCCACATCACGAACAGGTACACCACGAGCACCAACATGAACACTATGGTATTCTTTCTGCAAACGAACAAATTTTTGCCAAATTTACGATGAAGTCTGGATCAGTGTGTAATTTACACTTCAATATAAAATTGAGAAAATAACTTGTATCACATCAATTACTTTTTCGTTGTTCTTATCCTTTACGGATCTTAACGAAGTTAAAAAGATGCAATAGATGAGTGTAAAAATGAGTCTTTAAATTCGTGGAAATAATTACATCACTTATACATGGACGACGTGGCAGTCAAGGAGCTAATAAAAATGTCTGACTTACTGGATGGCTTTGTCGAATTTCAGCTTAATGTCCATTTCTGCTTTGTTCATGGGCACGAAGGGCTCCTTCTCTAGACTGTTCACGAGCAGCAGAATGTTCTCCCGTTTCCCCATGAAGGTGAACATTTTGTAAATCGAGATAAGCCCCGCCACCGTAACAGAGAAGTTGTCGCAGAATTGGTCCTGGTTCTCTACGTTGAATATTATATCCAGAACCTCCATTATTAGAATGTACTGCAGAAACAGCAATATCACTAGCGAGTACACTTTATACAACCATCTTTTAGCCCTGGACGTCCAGGTGAATGGACATAAACAGCCCATGAACGTCAGAAACGAGAACGTGTACTTTAACGCTGTCATGATCGACTTTGACAGTGTACGATTTGTTTATACTCATCCGACAGTGAGCAATAGTCTCACTAGTTTTGCTCTGTCACTTGGAGAAGTACAGACTTCAATTACGCGAGGACAAATGTATCGCTGCACTTCCTTGGGCGCTGAAACGTGATGAGTTCGCGCGACGAAGCTTGACGGGTTACTGACTACCGCGAAATATCGGATTTTCGCTCGAACTTTGTTTCATCCGACTTTTTCCGCTGTGAATTCCCTTCCGTCGGGAAGAGTACGTTATTACGGTAATTATTAACGAGCACGCGACAGGGGTAATTGCCATTTCGAGAACGCGTTCGCAACCCCTCGGACTCGGAATGCATTTAAGCGAGTTTACGGAAGGATCACGTTAAATAATGAAGCCACCGATGGTAGCTTTCGATCGACACAGATAATTAGTGGTGGAAAGGTGCCGCGACTAACTATCGGTCTTTTTCTCCCCGGTTGCACCATCGCGGTGGAATGCAGTCGGAAAAAAAATGTGTCAGTGAAGACATTATATTCCCTACAATATTCAGAGTCTGCTTGGGGAGGATGAGCAAACTGTCTCGAATGAAAACTATCGAGGATTTCATGTTCTTGGCTCTACAGGCAAGTTATTTTTTGTCACTAGAACATCGAGTATTTTAGTACGAATCTATTGTTACTTGCGTAGAGATGTTAATTGCACACTTTGCTAGAAAGCATTTTGGTATTAAAATAGTGTTCGGTATATCTGTTGGTGTTAACTACCCTCGTTGCTGTACATTATATGCAGAAAGCGATTGCATCGAAAGTTGGAGGCGAGTAAATCGTTTCGCGCCCACGCACGAAACGCTAACCCTTTGTTCTTTGTGTACCGATGGCTGCAGTCCCATCGATGCAAGTACTTCCTCTGCAACGGTGCAATTATTAGAGTAAATTCTTCAGAAAATTTGTTACGACGAACTTACTTGACCTTTGTCTGCAACATCGGCAAAATTCAATCTGATAATCTATTGGATATTTGATAATTTTTGAACTCCTCCACAACAAACGTTCTCTTCTTTTTCAACACAATATAATTTTGATCACATATAATTTCCTGTCAGGGTTAAGAAAAATAGCAAGGACGAGACAAAATGTTCAGGATTCAATATTTAATTTATTGCAAACTATTTTAGAATTTTTACTCTGGTAAACCTATCAATACAAATTGATCCATTCTCGATCAGATTCTCTAAATGAAAACATCTTCCCGATCCGTTACCTGCCCTGAAGCAGATTGAATATCGAGTACGAAATCTTCAACACCTGTACAAGAGAATAATGGTCGTAATTAGTAACAATAGTTGGACGGGAGAAAGAAGGAAGAAAGTGAAGGACTGACTGCCATGAAAGACTCCAGATTCACTGCAACAATGTGGGCGCTCGTGAACTCGATGGGGAACGTGGAGCGCTGCATGATCAATAGGAGCATCTTCATCGCGTTCTTATCCAACTTAGGCCAGTCGCTTGCGAAAATCATGTCAGAGACTTCGAGACTCTGAAACAGCAGCCGTGGTTAGATCGCGAAGGAGCCAGAACGATTGTGTTCCTGTCTTGGGAATGAACCTTCAGCTTGACTTCGTTCCCGTACCAACAGTAGTAAGTCAGCTGCATCAGCGTACAGACGAAGTACAAGCCGGCCTCGTACAGTTGCATTCCGAAACCCATATTTGTAATTCGAAAAAGGATCAAGCACGCCATGAATGTACTCGTCATGAACTGAAAGCCCAGAATCCCTCGAAACTGTTTGTTCACTTTCGATGCGAATCTGTAAGCAATTCGAAAATATTATCCCGTTTCTCGATCGTGCAATTAATTCTGCGAAGCAGACGTTAGCGATAGAGTCAACAATTATAGTACACTCGTCCGAATTGTTTCTCATTCTGTATTGAAAATTTTTGCAAGATTGAATCAGATACTACAAAATTGATAGCACTATAGATCAATCAGTTATCCAACTTGCGTTAAATGCGGCTACCGTTTCATCTTGTTCCACACTTCTAACCTGATAATTAGTAAAGTTATCATTTGGCAAGTACTCTTCCTCAATAGAGGTATCGTTGCGAAACATAATTCCGTGGACATATATTCTCCTAGAGTCCTTCATACCGAACTACTGTAAGAATGCATTGAAAAAGAATCGAGCACTCACTGGTAAATACATTCGTGGTGTCGAGCACAAGCTTTCACCGACTGACTGTGATCTCCCGTAATATTTTGCAAACGGTGCTCCAGCAGCTCCAGTTGACCGTTTATGAGTTCCATCAGGCCACTGATCAAAGTATCGTTAGCGAAATGCATCATCGTAAGTACCATTAAGCTGCTGGCTTCATGAAAGTAAGTCACCGCGTACAAGATCAGGGAAGAGTAGTCGTACGGCACCCACACACGTTCGTGCGCCAATTTTCTCAGCTTGAGATCTCTCATTAGCGACGACATCCACGTCACCAACAAATATGATTGGAACACCATCATGAACATTATCGCATTTTTCCTATGAACCAATAAATTCGTGTCAAATTGACGATGAAATCTGGATCAATGTACGATCAACTCTTTTGCTGCCGTGCCAAGACCCTAAGCTTCATATAATTGAAGCATATTATTAAATCAAATTAAAATTGAAAAGTTAATTTGTATGACTTGTTTGGCTTGTAATAGATCGGTGTTAAAATTAATAATCAATTCTAAGGAAATAATTCCACTAATATAATCACTATAAATTCTCCCTAATTGACGCTCAGATTATGACCAAAAATGTACGATTTGGGAAGAAGAGATACGATTATTCGTTTCTATAGTTGTTGATAATCGGTAACTATAAAAACAAGCTGAAATAATCGTATTTTTGCATCCAAAATTGTCCATTTTTCTGTACAATCTGTGCGTCAGTTAGGGAGAATTTACTGTACCTATTTATGGATAACGTGGTAGTCAAAGGGCAATTAAAAATTTGTGACTTACTGAATGGTCTTTTCGATCCTCAGCTTAATTTCCATCTCTGCTGTGTTCATGGGCAGAAAGGGCTCCTTCTCTAGACTGTTTATGAGCATAAGAATGGTCTCCCGTCTTCCCCTGAAGTTGAGCATCTTGTAAAGCGAGATGAGCGAGGCGACCGTAATATAGAAGTTCTCGCAGAATTGATCCTGGTTCTCCACGTTGATTATTATATCTAGAACTGCTATCACGATCATGTACTGTACGAACACCAATATTACAAGCGAGTACGCTTTGTACAACCATCTTTTGGCCCTGGACGTCCATGTTGATGGACACAGGCAGCCCAGGAGCGACAGAAACGTAAACGTGTACTTCAGCGCTGTCATGATGAATTTTGATAGGGTGCGATTTATCAGTACTCACTTGGAGAACAAGGGATTTCATTAACGCGAGAACAAATGTTTCATTACATAGTTCTTTGGGTGCGAAGACGAGATGACTTCACGTGACAGAGCTTGACGGGTTACTGACTACCGCGAGGTATCGGTTTTTACTCGAACTCACTCACTCATCCGACTTTTTCCGCTGTGAATTCCCTTCCGTCGGGAAGAGTACGTTATTACGGTAATTATTAACGAGCACGCGACAGGGGTAATTACCATTTCGAGAACGCGTTTGCAACCCCTCGGACTCGGAATGCATTTAAGCGAGTTTACGGAAAGATCACGTTAAATAATGAAGCCATCGATGGTAGTTTTCGATGGATACAGATAATTAATTAGTGGTGGAAAGAAGCCGCGACTAACTATCGGTCTTTTTCTCCCCGGTTGCACCACCGCGGTGGAATGCAGTTGGAAAAAATGTGTCAGTGAAGACATTATATTCTCTACAATATTCAGAGTCTGCTTGGGGAGGATGAGCAAACTGTCTCAAATGAAAAATATCGAGGATTTCATGTTCTTGGCTCTACAGGCAAATTTATTTTTTGTGACTAGAACATCGAGTATTTTAGTACGAATTTATTGTTACTTGCGTAGAGATATTAATTGCACATTTTGCTAGAAAGCATTTTGGTATTAAAATAGTGTTCGGTATATCTGTTGGTGTTAACTACCCTCGTTGCTGTACATTATATGCAGAAAGCGATTGCATCGAAAGTTGGAGGCGAGTAAATCGTTTCGCGCCCACGCACGAAACGCTAACCCTTTGTTCTTTGTGTACCGATGGCTGCAGTCCCATCGATGCAAGTACTTCCTCTGCAACGGTGCAATTATTAGAGTAAATTCCTCAGAAAATTTGTTACGACGAACTTACTTGACCTTTGTCTGCAACATCGGCAATACTTCATTTTTGTCGAAAATTTTGGGTTTGTACAAAAGTTCGTTTATTTAAAAA